GCAAGGTGTCAAAGGTCTTGGCTAGATCCGAGACGTGGGTCTCGGCTTTCAGGCTCTTCACTACCATGTCATCCACATGGGCTTCGATGTTCCTCCCCATCTGTTCTTTGAACACCTTGTTGATAAGGCACTAGTAGGTGGCCCCAGCATTCTTGAGGCTAAAGGGCATCACATGGTAGCAGTATGTGCCATGTTCAGTGATGAACGGGGTCTTCTCATCATCCTCTGCGTGCATCTTTATTTGATTGTATCTGGAGAAGGCATCCATGAAGCTAAGTAGCTCATACCTTGTAGTGGTGTCAATGAAGTGGTTTATCCTTGGCAAAGGAAAACTGTCCTTGGGGCAGGCTCGGTTAAGGTCTGTGAAATCAATACAGATCCGCCATTTTCCATTAGCTTTCTTTACCATAACCACATTTGACAACCAGTTAGGGTAGTGTACCTCTTAGATGAAACCAGCGTCGAGCAACTTTTCAACTTCCTCCTCTATGGCCTTCCAACGCTCCGGTGCAAAGTTCATCTTCTTCTACTGAACTTGCCTAGAGCTCAGGTCCACGCTCAGCCTGTGTGTAATGACCGAGGGGTCAATTCCAGGCATGTCAGTGGAGAACCAAGCAAAGACGTCGGCCTTAAGTCTAAGGAAACTTACCAGCTCTGATAGGCTCTCGGGGGGAAGGTTGGACCCGATGTGGACTGTCTCGTCGGGCTCGTCCTCGCCTAGGGAGACCGAGACGAGGTCCTCGGCCGATTGGCCTCGGCTCGCTGGCTACTCCCTGAGGTCGAGCCCTTCTACTGGCAGAGCTTCTTTATTCTTGCCCTTCAGCGTTACCACATAGCACTGAAAGATGGCGTGCTGGTCCCAACGAACAACTCCAACGCCGTGCTCGATGGGGAACTTCAAGGTGAGGTGGTAGGAGGAGATGGCTGCCTGGAGTGCGTGAAGAGTTGGTCTCTCCATGATGGCATTGTAGGGTGATCCGATCTTCACGACTAGGAACTTTGTCATCCTTGTCACTTGCTGGGGATCCATCCCTACTATGACTGGTAGGGAGATCTTGCCCTCTGGTTTGACGATGCTGCTAGAGAAGCCGACTAGTGGGGCATCTACGGGTTGGAGGCGCTCTGGAGCTATCTTCATTTTCTCAAAAGCTTCATAGAAAAGGATGTCGGTTGAGGAGCCATTATCAACAAGAATCCTTTTGACTACAAAGTTTGTAATGACGGTCGAGACCACCAATGCATCGTCATGGGGGACTACTTCCCCCTTCAGGTCCTCGTCCATGAAGGAGAGGGGTTCTTGCTTCTGCCTCTTGGATGATGGCCCCTGGATGTTCAGCTGCCTGGCGTAGGCTTTGTGAGCCAAGGACAAGGCTTCACCCAAGGCCATGCCTCCCACTATAACATCGATGACACGTGCTGCTGTTGCTATTGGGAGGACGAGGCGCTGGCCTCGCCTCCAACGTATTGCTTGAGGTGGCCCCGATGAATGAGGGACTCTATCTCATTCTTGAGATCATAACGGTCGTCGGTGTCGTGATCGGTTCCTCGGTGGAACTTGCAATATTTTTTGGGGTTCCCCCAACAGGGGGTTCTTTTTCAACTTTTTATGCCACTTCATAAATTTTTCCTGCCCGATCTGCATCAGAATCTATGTGCGGGTGGAGTTGAGTGGCGTGTACTGATTGTAAGCCAAGGCCGAGGCCGGTGGCTTCCTATTGTTGTTGTCGTTGTCGCGGCCCTGGTCTTCATTCTTCCTCTTCTTCTCGGGGGCTCTGTCCCAGTGCTCTGTGCCTCTCTCATGAGCATCTGTAGTCGAAGCCTCTTCGACGGCAATGTATTTCTAGGCCCTTTCTAAGAACTCCAGCTTCGTCTTTGGCTGGCTTTTGGCAATGGAGCATTTGAGGGCCGAGCTGGGAGGAGTCCATTAATGGCAGCATGCATGGGACTAGGGGTCAAGGCCACGGACCTCGAGTTCTTCTTTTTTGAAGCGGTCGATGTATGACCGCAAACTCTCTCCTCACTTCTGCTTGACAATCATCAACGAGACAATGCTTTTTTGGGGGCATCGACTGTTGATGAAGCGGACGGGGAACATGCTGGAAAACTGCTCCCATGAGGTGATGGATCGAGGTGGGAGGCTAGAAAACCACTGCCGAGTGGCTCCCTTGAAGGTCGCCTAGAAAGTTCGGCACGTCAAGGCATCGGAGTATCCGTATAAGATCATGAGTGCCCTGAAGCTCTCTAGGTGGTCGTCCAGGTCTGTGTTCCTGTTGTACATCTCCAAGGCAGAAGCCTTGAAGTTCGGGGGTAGAGGCTCGGCAATGATATCAGGGGAGAAGGCATCCATTCTCCCTAGGTAGTTGCTTTGTCTGATTGAGGTGTCAGTTCGGCCTTCCTTAACCTGTCGGAGCTCGGCTTTGACAGCTCTGATCTTGGCTCGGAGTTCGGCGGACATGGGGTCGGGCATGGCATGCGTGCCATCCTAGTCTTCACGAGCATGGTGGTGCTCATCACAGACTCCGGAGTGCTCGGAGTTGAGACCGCGTGCTTCGCACTTAGCGCGGCAGTTGTTCGGAACGTCCTGAAGGTCCGAGACGTGAGGGGAAGAGGCTCGGTGTCGGCTCTCAGCCCTGGAATGGGCGCTGGGATGATCGCTGTGTCCGCCTTCGTCCCTCAGATTGGCCCTTCAGCGTTGGTGATGCTGCTCAGAGGGCTATCGGCTATCCTCCGGTCGTTTTGGCTTCTCCTCCCTTTGGCTAGGAGGTCTGGTGGTTCGGGAGAGCGGGTCAGCTGGACCACTGCTACCACACTCTAAGGGCTCAGTCTGCTGCGCGTGGTTGAGGCTGGGGACCAATTGGCTAGTGGACCCATGTCAACTCGACTGTGTTGACTCCCCGGCAGGGCGGCCACCCTGGGGGCGGCCTCTTGCCTGGGGGTAGTTCTACTCGACTGGCTATGTCAAGTATTCCAGGCGGTCGAGCACGGCCTGGAACTGTTCATTGGTGACAAGATTTTATGTATTTCTTGTTCTTCGTACCATGTTGGTTGGTTGGAGCTTGGGGTTTGTTAGCTTGTTAAAGTTCTTTTAGGGAACGTCCTAGTGATGCTTCCACAGACGACGCCAATTGTTGATGCTCGGGATGGCCGAGGACAACGAAGTAAGTTCACCCCTAGACTCCGAAGGCTTCGAGGGTTCGGATAGCTTGTTGCCTAGACCGAGGTATGCAGGCCGAGGCGGAGAGGGCTCCGAATACTATAGAAGCCAAAGGCAGGTGGCCGAGGTGCTGCAAGGCAGAATACGTCAGAGGTCCCGGGTGAGGACCCGATGCAGAGTCTCCGACGGTCAAGTTAGAACGGGGTACGAAGAGGGGAATTAGAATATAACTTTTGAGATCAGTTCCAGGTCCAGATGCTGATTGTATTCGATCCTCCCCTTACCTGGAGGGGGGCACCCCTATTTATACTTGAGCTGCATGGAGGTAGGTGGAGGTGAACACCTGAGATGGGTGTCGTACGATGGCAGTTAGAGAGCTCTGTGGGGACGCATGGGCGTTCCGCGATTGGCTCCATATGAGGGGAGCAGAGTAACTCTTGTTGTAGTGTAGCGGATCTCGTTCCTAGGTCTGGCGCTCGTGGGCTGGGCCTCCCAGCCTCAAATGGACTGGGTTGGGTCACCCCACATCACCACCCATTTTGGAAAGTTTCTTAATCCTTTAACATTGTGAATGGTGGATTTTGGAACGTTTCCCAATCCATCATGTTTGTGACTTGTGTGTTGGTAGGGATTTACTAGATAGATAAATAATGGAAAGTGAGAGTGAAAACTATGTCAGGTGGCCTAGGGAGGAGTTCAAATCAGCCCCACACAACGTCCCACATCACATCCCCATCATGTATTGGAAACATCTCCTGATAATAATACCCGAAATGATGATGTCATCATCGGAAGATGTTCCCAATACATGGCAGCGATGTATTGTGGGACGTTGTGGGGGGCTGATTCGGTCTCCCTAAGGAGAGCTCTAGAAAGGAGGGGTTAGAATTGGGTTTGAAGGATTTTAGGCTGCATTTGGCATTCCTTATTTTAAGGATTTATTTCCTTTTTGCAATTAAAATGCCCTCGTAGGCACAAGTCATCACCTTTCAACAAAAAATAACTCCAACAACCTACCAACACGATCTCACACTGCATATTTCATACATGGCGAGTCCCACTTTTATGCTGGGTCACAGTCTCATGGTGAGATTGGTAGAGGGTTCAAACGTGATTTGTTGGCAGAAGATCTCAACTCAACATTAGTCCGAATCACCTGCCAACAAAATAAATTCCAACAATTTACTGATATAATCTTGCACCGAACATCTCATATATGGCAGATCCCACTTTTATGATAGGTCCCAATCTCATGGTGAGATCTGCGGTGTTATATCAAATTGACAGAGGGTTGGAACGTGTTTTGTTGGCAGACTCAACTTCATGAACACTGAGCTTTGAGATGAGTCCTTAAAATAAAGAATGCTATAGGCTAAGGTTAGAATTTTGGGTTGGATTAGGGTTAAGGTCGGGGTTTAAAACTTCAGAATGGATTAGGATTGGTCAAGCCTTATGGACCGGACTCCAGCCAGGTTTCCGGTCTACAAAGTACAAACTTAGGCCCAAGCCCAAAAGTTATGAGCTGGGCTGAGCCGCACTAGGAATGATCTCCCTAGGTGAGACCAAGCCCAATATGTTCAAACCATTTACTATTTCAGAGAATGCTGAGAGCCATGAGATGCATGCTTCTTTGTCGTCTTCTTCGTTTGAACACGTCTCTCTTCACAGCCACAGCCACAGCCACAGCCACAGGCCAAGCAGTCAAACTCAAACAAACCGAGGCCGAAAAGCAAAGCTCCCTCCCCATTTGCCTTTTTTGATTTGTTTACACTTCTGTTCCAAAGACGGGTATCGAGCGATCTGATCTGATCACTGACAGTTATTAATTCCAATCTGACGGATGCAGTTTGGAGAGGACAGCCAGCGGTGGTCTCTCAAGGCGGATGCTGTCATGAATCCTTTTCTCATATATCATTGGGCGACGTTGTGGTGACTGGCGAGAGAGAACAGATTCAAGAGAATCAGAGACAGAGAGAGAGATGGCAAATCTTCCCCTGCATATCCCAAACAATTTCAGAAACTTCTCTGTAATGGCTTCATCTAATGGTAAGTTCCTTTTTTTATCATTCTCTCTAAAACCCAAATTTGTTAAGTGTTATAGTTCACCAAAACAAACAATTTATTGTAGTTTTATATCAGTGGAGAAATTTCTATTCTTGCTCTTTTTCTCTAAATCCATGTTTCTATTTGTTGAGAAAGATATGATAACTGAAAAACAACTGACCAATAACACAATCTTAAACGTGGTTAGGAACATGGTGTGATTTATCAAAATTCATGGGTGGGTTTTGATTGGTCAAAACTCTTTCCATACCATATCTTTTCCATATCATAGATTTTCCCTTTTTTGAGGAGTTCATTTCATTTAGCAAATATCAGTTGATGGGCTTGCAGCTTTTTATCCCAATATTCAATTGTTTTTTTTTGTTTCAATTTCATGATTGGATTGAGAAAAAACGAAAAATCAGTTGATGGGTTTTGACTTTGAAGGTTCTTATTTTCTGTAATTTGATGGGACCCTGTCGGTTTCAGGGGTTCCTTTCAGTGCACCCAAATCAGGTGGGCCGATGATTCTTGAGCTTCCGCTCGATAAGATACGGAGACCTCTCATGCGTACAAGAGCTAACGACCCGGAGAAGGTGAAGGACCTCATGGAGAGCATTCGAGTAATTGGGCTCCAAGAACCAGTAAGACAATTCACGCGTAATAATCTAAGAGATACATAGAGAGACAGATTTTTCTTAATCTATTTTCACTTCCTAGACTTTTATTCATTTCTTAGTCTGATTGTAGTATAGTAACGTAATACAAGACAGGTCCATGTTCTATAAGAGCTTAGCAATTGAATAACAATAAGGCAAAAACGACACTAATTTGAGGGAAATATTTCTAAACAGGTTTTTGTTATTAATGAGATCAAAAGGTTTCATAAAGAAGAAAAAATATTAAAAAAGAAATAAGGTACAACTTCTTTGGTGACAATTGGATTCCAATAAAAGAAAAGCATACAGATCAGTTATCCAAAATACAAAAACTAAAAGTCAAGCATTCAAAATATACCAAAAATCTGCTTCAAAGTCTTCTTTCGTCAGGCCTTCAAATTCTGGAAGAATTAAAACTCAACCAATTATCTTCGAACTGATTGCCGCCCTCTAATTTTTCATTGCTTTTCATCTTCCCTTTGAAAATTCTTTTGTTTCTTTCCTTTCCAAACCTTCCAGCAAACAACAAAGGAGATACAACTCCAAATGATTTTGGACTTAGAATTTCCTTGAACTCCCAGCATCCAAAGATCTCAACCTTCAGAATAAGGGAAGTGTAAGTTGCATTTGCTAACTTTTCTAGCTTTTTTCTCCACCCACAACTCCCTAAACATTTCCATCAAATCTTTTTTGACAATGTTCCAACACACCTTGAAGAAAGCAATGTTGAAACGATCCAGCCCAGGAGCCTTCTCCCCCTTCATGAGAGCATAGCAAATAATACAGGAAACTTCCTACACCAACATGAGAAGAAGAATCATATGACAGGGTTCGACTATGATACTGGAAAGATATGATATTTAAAAAACTTGTGACCAATCAATGGGTATCATAAATGTGTTAACCAATCAGGTGATATGTATGAAAATTCACGGATGGATTTTGATTGGTTAAAACTCTTCCAATACCATGTATTTTTAGCGTCATAGATTTTCCCCATATGACAAGCAGAAACAGTGACAATAGATGATCCCTATATGCATCTGCTTTACAAGTATTACTTTATCACCCCGACAATCCCATTCCCCAGTACAGTTTTCTTTCTCATTACACTAATCCATTTGCTAGGGAGTATGCTGATCACTGTATCCAGATGAATGAGATGTTCATTTTGTCTGAAAATGATCTAAGCTGCCTCACAAGTGTCATAGAGAGCCCAAGGGCCTTTGGATGGTGATGTCATCCAACTTATGATCACTAAAGAATCCCCTTCAACTTCTAGTATTTCTGAGCCAATAGAGAATCCAATCCTCACATCCTCAGACCCTGCAAAATTGACATGATATTAGATTTTATGTATGCGGCCTCCTCAATCTTTCTAAGCAGGAATTATTCATGCTTCATCTAGGAACTGTCAAATATAGGAATCTTAGCTTTAGATGAGCTCAAAGGTAACTTTTGTAAATGTATTAGGAGAGAAGATCCCTTTGGGTTTCACATCTTTATCATTTGAGAAGTTTTGTAGATTCTAGGAATTGATTTATGGACAACTTAATAAAATCTTGAAAGGGTTAATATGCCTGGAGGATATGAACATGTGGTTGTGGAGGACATTAAAATGAATGGCAGGTGAAAAAGTGGATGTGCCTAGAGGAAATTTCAGTACCTCTATTACCAAAGGATGTGGTAACAGAAACCAGGTTTTGTGCCCTAATGTGAAGGTGAATAATTCACAATGTTTTTTTTTTACATTTCCTAGATTCTGAATTAATGTTTAGAAGGAAATGCTCCTCCGAAGGGCAAGTAGAAAGGTTTTATTGGGGATTTTTGGTGCTTAGCAACATTAGCCTGCAAACCTTTGGTAAGAAAATGATATTATCTAGCCTACAACTTTTGGGATCCCAAAAGGGTCTTTACTATTTTTGGGGTGCTAACTTGTGCCTAGGCACTTCGATTTACATTGCCACTCATCATAATGATGAAAAATAAAAATGTGAATTGCCATTCAGTATAATATTCACATGATGCCCAACTTTTAGTTTTTATGGTATGATTAGAGACATGAGTCATGAGCTGCATGATCATATTTGACCCTTCTTTTCTATTGTTTACATTGAAATTGAAGGCACGTGCTCAGAATTTAGATGCGTCATGCAAGGAAAATTTGAAAAGTTTACATGGTCTTCACCACTTACTTTTTTTATTGGATAGGCTCTTGACTGATTCTTTTGGTGTACAAGCAATGTGATTATTTTCAAGGTTACCACCATTAGGAACTGTGTCTTAATCTTCCGTAGCACACCATGTGTGTAATATTTTGTCTATGTATTTCCTAGGCACTCTTTTCAGTTCTTCTGATAACCACATATTATAAAATTATTAATTTCTGAAGTAATACACAATATAAATATGTTTAGGTTCTTATCCTTGTCTTCCTGGAAAAATAAAAACAAATATATTACACTGTTCAACCAGATTATAAAATAAAATTCAAGATACATAGTAATAGAACTTTATCTCATTTGTTCTTGTTTTACTCAATGCCAGGAAAAACAAATACTATGGTGATTTCTCTGATTTAGAGTTTCTAAAGAAAAGGGAGAAAAGAAAATAAAAATAACTAATGTTTACAAGAACATGTGAATTTATTCATGGAGGTATGGCCGTTACCTTGGCATTTTTATTAGCAACAATAAGTTAATGATTTTATTGATATATGTAAGAAAAATGATATAAATCTATGATATGCCCAAGCAATCCTTGTTGGCAGCTAGCCTTGGCTAATCACCACTAATAGTTATACATCCCCTCATGAGGGATTAAGCCCCAATACATCCGAGTTGTGTTCCACAATAAAAGAAAATGAGAGCCAGAAGGAAGCTAGTATACCTAAAGGAAGCACAAGTAGGAATAGCTGACAATGAGAAGAGTTGGAGATAAAAGAGGGTAGATGGAAAATATGCCCCATGTGGCATGAAAGAAATAGAAGAAATTTTGAAGATAGGCTTTCTTCCAAGAAGGATGCTATTAATAGCCTGTAGTTCTGTTATCTTCTTGTACTCTACCTTCCATGATAGTGTGTGGAAAGATGTTGCTTATTTTTAACCTTTGAGAATTCCTTTCCTGCAGAATGCTACCTCCAAGAGATAATGCCATAAATCTTAATTTTGATGGATATTCCTTGGGAATTGGAAGATTTTAGGGGACAGCTTCTGGAGTATTGTTTTTGTGTTCTTGAGACCCTATTGAGAAAGCTGATTTGAATTTGGTAGAAGCTTACCTATTTTGCAAGGATTGAGACTTCCTAAGGCCCTCCTTTCACTTTTGATTAATGGAGATTACTCGCAGATATCTATATGGTGGGGGAAGGGTAGTAATGTATGGACATCCAGGATTCTATATATCACAGGAGAAATTAAGGCTGTAACAATTTGCTTGAACATTTTATTCTGGTGCATTCTGAGGGAGGTAACTGCTTTGGTGGATAGCCTTGGAAATTTTGGGGTTGAAAGGGAGTTTTGTGTAATGGGATATCCATTAACTATAATTGATTGGTCTATTTTCCCTTGGTAGTGCTTGAATATTTTGTAGCCTCTCTCTTCCCTTCTTTCCTTCTTCTGAATGTAAATGTTCGCAGATAATGAAAAAAAATAATAAGACAATGATTTTAAGCTTTGAACCCTTAGACTGCATTTTCTTCTACACTCTTTATTTGTGTTATAACTAATTCTAATTTATTCCCTCATCTGATAATTGTGCAGATTGATGTTCTTGAGGTTGATGGAGTTTACTATGGTATGTTTCTACTTGAACTGCACATGGACTACACTGCTTATTTGTTTTCCATATCATAGGCTTTCTGATATCCTCCGCAAATGAATTTCTTAATTGTTTCCTGTATTTTAATAGGTTTCTCTGGTTGTCACCGGTATGAAGCTCACCAGCGCCTTGGACTTCCTACAATTCGTTGTAAAATTCGACGTGGAACAAAAGAAACTCTGAGGTCTGTTGCATCTCCATTAGAAATGTCCTTTTCTTGCTCTTAGTCTAGACATTAGACATTAAGAAATTTTCTTGTTCATTTGAATCTTGCAGGCATCACCTTCGCTGAGTTAATAGAACAACTTCTGGAGGTATAATCTGATTGATATTTTCTGGCCTCATGATTAATTCTAAATGAGGGGTTTGTATCTATGTAGATGGTTGTATACATGTACTCTAAATACTGATATTATTGCCTTAAGGTGCTGTTACAATCATGAAGATACAGTATTGTTTATTACACATTGCAATTGCATGTCTAATGTAACACATGTTAACACTTTCATGCATACTGGATATCTTTCTCATTTGTTAAAGGGCAATTTTCTTTTGTCCCTAAATGGGATCAACACAATGAAACAATATAGGGTATATATTAGAGAATAAATATGTAAATCTTGCCCAGGAAGAAAGGTGTTTTAGTTGGAGAGCCAAGAAAGGGAATTGAACATATTCTTTTCCCAGTTGGATGGAGAAAGAGAAGTCAGATCCTCCAGGTCATATAAGCATGCACCATAGAAAACAGAAGTTTCAACTTTTGCAGGATTTTTTGAAGGGGTAATAGCATATAAGGGCAACTTTTGTGGTTTAATATCAATAAAAGTAATATAATTAAAAAATTTTCAAAAATAGGTTAACTTTTTAAAAATAATATCAATAAAGGGCAAAAACACTGTTCATCTTCTTCTTTTTGCCCTTTGTTCTTTAGAGCTGCCGCCTGCCACCACCCGCCTCCGCCTCCAGCAACGTTGCCGGAGGTGGTCGGAGGTGCTGCCACCACCTCTGCCTCCACCCATCTCCGGCAACGTTGTTGGAAGCGGAGACGGAGGTGGGTGGAGGTGGCAACGTTGGACAGAGAAACCACCAGTGCCGCCGCCGCCACCTCTGCCTCCGGCCACCTCTGGCAACATTGTCGGAGGTAGGCGGAGGCGGCGGTGGCAGGTGGTGGCGGGTGGCGACGGGCAGCGGCTCTGATGAACAAAGGGCAAGAAGAAGAAGATGAATAGTTTTTTTGCCCTTTATTGATATTATTTTTAAAAAGTTAACCTATTTTTAAAATTTTTTTAATTATATTACTTTTATTGATATTAAACCACAAAAGTTGCTCTTATATGATAGAAACCCTTTTTTGAATTGAAATTCAGACATGGTTTCTGCAACTAGAGGAATTATTTGGCGTATTGCATGGCCAATTTGAGCTTTACAGAGACACCCATTAGGGAAGACAATTAAAGAATACAAATGCTCATTATTTTTTTTCATTTCTGTATTAACTTTTTAAATGGGCTAACCAAGTTGTTCAAGATATTCGCTCTAACAATTGAGGGTTGTAATGATCTTAATTCCATTGTCAAGCACGATGTACGGGAAAATCCAAAGATTGATTAATTTTGTCAATTGATAATGAATAGAAAATTAAGTAATTTATGAAAGCGTTAATTTATTGGTAATTTAGTGACAAAAAATTTGTCCTTTAAATTAGAAATTAATGAACAGTAAAAGATGGGTATGTTGAAACTTCCCATTCTTATGTAAATTTAGGAGGAAAAAAAAAAGCAATCCACTCCTGTGGTTGGAATGAAGGAGACCATTTGTTGTTAGAGGCCCTGGCCAGCCTTCATAAGTAAATAAATTAATTAAAAATAGCTAGGTTTTTATGTGATGATTTTGGGTCCAGCTCAAACTCAAAAAAAAACTCCAGAAAATTTTGTGGGTTATTATATGCTCAAATGGGTCATCTAGGCTAAAGCTCAAGAAAGTTCTCTACAAGGTTTTTAAAACTGATTCAAACAACGAACCGGTCAGGGGTCCAGTTCCCGGAAATGGCCTGATCATTCGAATCAAATGGACGTTCTATTCTGACAAAAAAAATAAAAAACAGCCAAAATCATTGAACAATTTAAACGGTTCAACTGCTCGTGTTAGCGGTTTGTTGACTAAATCAACATTTTTTGGCAAAAATCCGGTTTTGGGATAAACCCGAAAACTGGTCACCTCCGGTCCTCTGGTCCGGTTTGGTCTGGTTTTGAAAACCATAGTTCTCTATATTAATTTATCCTTCGCACAATTATCAACCCATTCAAATGCCAAGAAGCTCGTCTTAGTGATTGAATCAAAGATCACTCGAGTGGGAGCTAGAGAATGCAAGCAACCAATCTACTAATATCACTAATATTATAAGGATCTCTTAATCGGGTCAAGTAGGAAAGCTTGTTACATGACTCCACCTGCTTTTTTCATGTGAATGAGTGCTATAGCTCACCCATATCATCTAATAAGGGCACTAACCTTGGGATTTGGTCGCATCTTCACTCTCAACCTCCGTTGGCCCAATATACAAAATTTTAATACTTTTAATGGAAGCCCCTAAGCTAAGTGATACTTACATTGGCATATAGCAGAAAGTTGAAAGTTAACATATATACTGCATTATTATTTCAATCTTCAGCCCAAATATCTTGGTTGTGACAGAGGGCTTCATAATTCCTCCAAATCACCTATGTACTATTTGTGAGGCATGCACATTCAGCCCAATAAGTCCAATAGACATCCTTTGAGAGAGATGCAAAATTCATAGATAGGTCGATAAAAGCTTTCCTTACATAATTACATTTGACTAATATTTCATATAAAATATAAATAAATGAAAAAGTAAATATTATTAAAATAGTGAAAGTAGATTAATTAACTTATAGGTATTAAAGCTTTTTATTAGTCATTTATTGCATTTTTATTATAAATATATTTTCAGTAATTTTGCTATAAATTTTTAATAATTACTGGAGATTAAACTATTGTTATTTGTTAGATATTAGACTATTAATTTAGCTGAAATTATGAGTGTTTACTAGGCAATTCAGTTCGGTTGGAGATTGTTTGGCTAGCCAAACTGATCTGGTCGGGTTAGGGAGTTGGTCACTCAAAACTAACCAACCATCAGTGAAAACTAACCATTGGTCAATTAATAAATGCTCAATTTTTTAATGTTTAGCGTAATTTACATTAATCATTGTAATTTAATAAATTTTCTTATTTTTACAATAATTATTTATTCATAAAAGATATTACTAATTGATGTAATTTACTAATTTCTATAAAATCAATAATTATAGTTAACAATTATCAAATAATTCAGGGAAACTCTTTAACTAATAAACCATAATTTTTTAAATAAATAATAATTAAAGAATTATGAAATTAATCTATGAAAAAAAATCTCTAAAACTATTTAAATAATAATCCATTATTATTATTCAACTAAGTAATTATTAAAAATTTAAGGAAAATTAAATTAGGAAAATAATCTATCAGAAATTATTTCATATTTATTTAAATAATAATCTATTATTATTAGTTTAATAAATAATTATGAAATAATTTAAGAAAATTATTAAATCTATCCACACTGGTCTAGACCACTTGGTTGACTTAAACCATACTTGGTTTTACATTAGTTAACAATAAATGATTTAATTTTAAATAAAATTAATGTAATTTACCATAATTACATTAATTTACTATAATTACATCACCTTGATTAATAGTAAATAATTTAGGCTTAAAAAGTAAATAGTTTACATTAATTTATTGTTATTGTAAATAACTAATTTACTATACTTTTTTGCTAATCAACAACAATTTCAATAATTTTTGAAAATTATCATAAAATATTGTAATTTATTATTATTTAATTTACTTTTAGTTAATTAGTAATAGAAAATTATTATAATTGTAGGGATGACAATTTTCCCTATAAAACTAGGGCCTTACCTAGCTACCCTACCCCATGTAAGTTGTAATTTGAACCAATAATTACAAAAATTATTAAGGTAAGTTAGTATAATATTTGAAAAAGGAAACTATTGATTAGATTATATTAGAAAATATGAGATAAATTAGTGTAATTTTATAAGTAAATCATTTAAAAAGAAAATAAATTATTTAATAACAATTTAAAAATAAATTTTCAAAATTACACAAATGTAATAAATTCTCCAAAATTTTCATAAAATTACATTTATGAAAATTAAAGATAATTTAGTGTACTTTTAGAATATTGGGTTGACGAGGAGTGGGTGCCTTGTCTTGAACCTGCCAAACACTAGGACAGGGTGGGGAAATTCGAGGATCCCCCATCCATGATTAGGAATGGGTGTCTTGCCCAGAACTCACCCAACATTCAGAACGAGGCGGGGAAAATCAAATATTCCCCATCCTTCATAAGGAGTGGGTGCCTTGCCCTGAACTCGCCTAACACTAGGGGACGGGGTGGAGATGGGGTAGAGTGTCTTGACTATGGGGCGGGCATAGGGATAGGGTGCCCCACCCTGAACCCACATCGTTGTTATCCCTATATAATTGTTAATTATTAGTGAAATTAATAAAAATGTTAGCTTTTGTAATTATTTTTCTTTATTTAAAGTCAATCAATTTTTATTTAAAAATAATGGAAATAATAACAATTATTAAAATTACTACAAATGATTAATAAAATTAAATTTATTAAAACAAAATTTGTTCATATTAAATTAACAATAATTATTGTCTCTAAATCAACATTAAATGAAAATTACAATTATTAAAATTTTATATATTAACAATAATTTTTAATACTTTTAGTTAATTAATAACAATTTTTTATTATTCATTTTTAATTAGTTCATGGTAAATAAAATTATTCAATCTTTCAAATTTACCTGTGCACCACACGAGTCCACTCTAGTATACAATAGTTTAACAATAATTCGATTATTAATGTTAATTCATTTTTTGTAATATTTTGGATAACTTTTTGGTAATTGTGCCAATTTTGTTAATTATTGGTAATTTTATGCTATTTCCATTAATTTTTTGAAATTATCATATTTTTGGAAATATTCCTAATTATTTATTAATGGTGAAGGGGACCATAAATTATTCAAAATTATTATTAAGGTTATAATAATTAAAAGCAAAACTATAAATGATTAAGGTAATCGTGGGTAATTATTTATTTTAAATAACAATGTAATTATTTATATTTTTTAAATATAAAATATCTAAAAACAGAACTGTGTGTAATTATATATTTATTTGTTTTTAAATAATTATTTTAAATTATTTATTTAAAAAAATAATTATTGCATGGGCCCCCTCCATCTTCAATTTCGGTAGTTGTGTGTAAATATTTATTTTAAATAACAAAACTATAAATTATTCAAAATAATAATTAAAAACAAATAATAAAATTGTTATTATTAGGTAACTGTGT